AGTTAATTAGTGGATATATGTACAATACAGGCTCTGGTACACAGGAACAGCGGGGCTATGACTTAATAGTATAACAAGATTGCTGTTGACTCAAAGCTTTTATAAGTTTGTATTAGCTTCGTTTGGACAACTTTTTCTAAGTAGTTTAGTGTGGTTGTGTTATTCTCAAGTGCATACATACATACAATTACCCCAAACATATTTCATTTAGGTGTGTATTTATGTGCTAACCCTTAATGTTGACAGAAGGAAAAAGCTTTGGAAATGCTGACAATAATTTATACTTCTTGGAACATTTCTCACGTTTTTAAGGTTTCCCAAAAATGGAAAGATGAGGAGGCTGTGGGAACTTGCCCTAAGAAGGGACAGTTTTGTTGCGACTGACAGGACTCTGCTTTGCAGTGAACACTTCAGGAGTGAGGATTTTGACTGAACAGGGCAGACAGTCCGAATTAAAGATGGTGTTGTGCCCAAAATTTTCAATTTTCCAGCTCATCTTGAAAGGGTATGTGTATCATTGCAATTTAATCACATATTGATATAACATTCTTATACACCGTGAATTGTTGCTGGTCACTTTTGTTTCTGGAAGATATATAATGTGTTGTTTAGTAGCACCTTTTAGACACTCAAAACCTCTTTACTTAATTTTAGCTAGTAGCCACAAGAAACACAACCACCTCTAGAAGAGTGGAAGACAACCTGCCAATGGACGTGTCCCAGGATGTACCTCAACCTGATGTTGTGAGTGTTTTCATGTGGCTTGTTAAAAACAGTTTGTTATATTAAATCCTTTATCTTATAAAAAGTTTGACTCTGTCGCTCATAAACTTGAATTTATAAACATGTGTGAACATTGAAACTAAACCCAAGGGTAGGCAGCCTTTACAATCAAAAGAGAAATTTTTTTTTCAGAGCCACAAAACATATTTTTGCCTTATAAGTGGACAAGCCTATACAATTACTTAAATGTATGCTGTTGTGTTTTCTGTCGGATAATTGGAGTATCTTGTATTTAGGCTCACGGAATTGAAAAGTTAACATTTAATTTCTTAAAAAAATAAGTAATTTCTATACCACTATTATTTATATATATTTTTTTATATTTCTGCAAAACAACAGGGAGCCACTGGAGAGAGGGGTTTGAGCTGCAAGCGGCAGGCCACTGACCACTTGTATGCATTGCCTGCTTGCCCTAAGGCTATAAAAGCCAAACTTGAAAAGGCCTCAGCAACTGTGAGGAAACTGCAGCGGGAGAAGAGTAATGCCTTGAGGAGAGAAAAGAGGACCAAGATGAACATGCGGGCTCTGCTGGAGGAATTGAAGGAGAAAAATCTAATCAATGAAGAGCTAAGAGACAACCTTGAATGCTATTCAGGTGAAATAAAAATATTACATTGAATATTTTGTGTATTTTATGTTCTTTGTTGAGTCCCTAGTTACTATTAAAAAGATACTTACTGAATCACTTTGCTAATTCAATTACAGATCTTCCAGTTCATCTCTTGTCTAGGCAGGGTGTAGAGTACACCAAGGACCAGAAAGATTTTGCCCTCACGCTCCATCTGCATGGTCCAAAGGCATATCACTACCTGAGAGATACCCTGCATATTCACCTGCCACACCCCAGTTCATTGCAAAGGTATTCTTCATGATGTCTAATTTTATATTGAATTACATTAAGCACTACAGACAATAATATCATGAATGGTTAAACTTACTGATCTTACAGCTCATGTCCACAGCTACCTTCCTGTCTGCTTTGATGGTCTTGTGGACAACGCTCTCGTGTACATTTCAGGTAAAGGCTGACTAAAAGTTGATTTTGCCTAAAACCAATGGTGCAAATAGTCAAAACCTGAGTGAAATCAATATCCCAATGGCCCAAAAAGATAAATGTTCCCTTAATTTCCCCATGGTTATTATAAATTATTTTAATATACCAACTCTTGTTTCAGGATTTGTTGTGCGACGGGCTCTGAAAAAGCTGTCCTGTGATGTCTGCCGTGCCAGCTTGGTAACAGATGCTGCATCTGCCATCAAGGACCAGAGCTACCACCTGCTGAAGTTAAAAAACAATGGAGGTCTGGTGATTCCATCAGAAGGCACTGTGATGGTAGTCAGGGCAGCAGAGTGGGTTCTTCGTCAGACCTCATGTACCAGACGATCACAGCCCATCAAAGTGCTAGAGGTCGTGTACATTGTACGGAAGAGGATAGGGTCAGAGGATGTGTTTGTGCTTGGAGAGCACATCGGAGAAACGCAGTATGGCATAGACAGCCACCACCATACGCTGTTAACATTGGTTGTGTCCTTGTTTTTTAAGTTAAGGCTGCACCACATTGCCAAAATAACCAACCTTGGCTTACAGAGCAACAACATGCGACAGAAACACAATAAAACCGTCCTTTTCAAAGGGCATTAACCAAGCTATGTTTTTTGGGTCATTTTTTCATCTCTGTCTTCCATGTGTATACCATCACAGTAGTGTAGGTGGGGATTTCAACATGCTACATCTATATATACTTGTGAAGGGGACTATTGTACCAATTTTAATAGCAAATAAATGTCACTTTTATAATGGTTTAAAAATAGGAACTTTTGTGTAATTACCCCTGATATATAATCCGAATAGTCTACATGAAACTTCACAGTGTAACCTTTAATTTGAAACCTGGATTATGATTCTACACCAAGAGGTTGCCACACAATAAGCCTTTTTTGTCAGTATTTCAAATTTATTATAACAGTAATATTTATATTATAAAAGTATTTATGTAAATATAAATAAATTAGGACTGTGAAATAATTAATCACACTCAAATAAAAGTGTTTATATATATATATATATATATATATATATATATATATATATGTATTATAATATATATATATTATATATATATATTTTATATACAATATATATATATATATATATTATATACACATATATATATTGTATATATATATTATATATATATATTATATATATACATTATATATACAATTTATATATATATATATATATATATATATATATATATATATATATATATATATATATATATATATATATATAAATATATATTTCTGGGACCATATATATATGGTTGCCATTCTGTACACTGAGTTTTAATAGCATATATTGATTTAACATAAATACCTTGTGCATGTGTATATTTATTGCACCTGTATGTTCTATTCAATGTTCTTTTCATATGAAATTCCATGGTTATAATTATTCCTAAGTGCGCAGTATCACAACTACATGTCTGACTTTTGTTTAACAAACCAAACAGTTTGAGAATAGTTAGATAATTGAGGAAGTTATGGTTATTTCAGTACATGCGCCATTGAAACACAATGCTACGAATGAGCGAGCTGCCTGTGGTAAGATAGCCGCCACGTGCGGACGTCGACCCCCATTGGCCAGCAGCGCGGACGAGACATCTAGCCTTTATTATGGATATCTATGGGGCTGCCTGCACTGACGCGGCTCAGGGATTACGTCACACGGAGCGTCGTGCGCAGTGAAATCAGGACATTTCCTCACTTTCTAAAAAAAACCCGGGACGCCCGGGACAGGACGTGAAATACGGATATGTCCCGGGAAATACGGACGTTTGGTCACCCTAAGTTCAACACAATGTATTGGTTAGAATAGCAGACAGACAAGTTAACAACGTGTACAATAAAGGAAAGGTTTTTGACATACAAGGTTTCCATCCAAAAGTAAATACTTCCTGATCTACTATGAATTATAAATTACACACAGATGAATAAAATCTTTTGCTATTTTGGCTTTATTTCCCCTTGGTTTCTGCTGCTCAGGGGTCAAAGTAAATATAAATTAATTTGGGCCTGATATAAAAAAAAATAATTTACACAGATAACCTACATAATTGCCTTATAAAGCCATATTTAACCGCTTCTAAATTTCAACAATATGTTAGCTAAAATGTTGAAATATTCACATAGCTTGAAACAAGAATTATGAGAGAGAAATATTCAAAGATCTATGTAGCTTTTTGTCTGGGTCTTTATCCAAAACAAACAGTATGCAAGTAATTATATGCTTTAGATATATTCAGGGATTCCTTTTGATAGAAATTAAAAAAGGTTTTGCATCGCCTCTTGTGAGCTGGAGGAAATTAAGCCATAAGAGTTAGACAAAAGGATTTTTTTTCTTCAGTAAAATAAAGAAATTTAAAAAACTACCTTGGATCTAGGATGTCCCAGGAAAGATACAATAATCTGTCTATACAGCATCAGCTTGCCAAGAAATTAAACTTTAAAGACATCATAAAAAGTAAAAAGTTGGGTTGTACGTAGGTGTAGAGGGCAGGGCCAAAAAGACTGTTGTCCTGGGCCGTAGCATAGCTGTTAGCTGGCCTGATGACCTGCTCTGTTGCAAAAGGGCCCAGATTACACTCCAATCCAATCAAGATCCATTCCCATCCAGAAATCTTTCTCAATTCAAAATGTCTGGAGTAGCGTTGAGTTCCAGGCTTATAGAGTGGCCCAAAGAAAAGACTTGTAATGGCTTAGAAAACATGCAAATTGGACAAAAAAAAACAGGTCCACCCCTTAGTAATGGGGAGTCGTCGAGGTTCTCGTTGCCCTGCAAAACCCGATACTAAATGCAGGCAAAACAAAGCCCAGTAGTTTTGTTTTGTTTTTTACTTTTCTTGGAATTACTATGACCTGGATGACTGAGAATCTTTAGCAGTCCTGTGTTACTATTCAGTCATTTAGTCTCTCTGCTTGTTCTCCCTGTGAACGCCTGGGTTCTCTCCAGGTACTCTAGCTTCCTCCCAGAGTCAACCATGACTGTTAATATCTATTTGTCCAAGTGCGGTTGCCCTGTAATTGACTGGTGACTGGTTAAGGGTGAACCCAGACTCTCTCCCATTGTATGATGGATGGCGTTTTAGTACCAACTTTATGACCAAGAGTAACCAAGTGTAACCTATTGTTGAAACTTTTTTTCCTTCTTACAGGTCTATGCTCTCTGCCCCAGTATTTTTCTGATGTATATCATGTTGTAAATGAAAGAAAGACCTGGGCTGAAGCCCAGGCGTACTGCAGGGAAAAGTACATAGACCTGGTTACCATCAATAGCACTGAAGACATGGCTGTGATAGAAAACATCATCAATGCTGAAAATCAGGATGAGTTCTGGATAGGTTTGTATGGCGATGTAAACAACTGGAAGTGGTCTCTGGAACAGGAGGGATTTTATGAAGAAGGGCAGAAAGACCTCAGACTCTGGACCGAAGGGGAACCAAACGCTCCTAACAATCACTTTGTCTGTGGTGACATACAGAAGACATGGGCGGACTATTATTGCCATGGTCTACGCCAGGCAGTCTGCTACAGTGGTAAGAGATGGATTCAGTGCTGCTTTAATGCACTACTTATGGAATTTAACTTTATGACAAACAAATTATATTTTTTTTTAAATCAAAGGAATATTTGAGAATAAAAATGTTAAATTGAACTAAGATTTTTTCATTTTAATTTCAAATTAACATGTGATAACTGCTGGGATCATAATTTAATGCCTTGAATTGAAATCTGTATAACTGCACATATTCAACAAATGAATAATAAATAAATAACTGGTGTGATCTAACCCACAGTAAAGGGCTTCATCGTTCAAAACGCTTCAAAAAGTGATTAATGCAAAAGCAAGACAACTTTTAGTAAAAGGATAGCTGAGACTCTGATTGGTACAATTAATTTATTTAAAATTCTGCAATTCAGAACACATAGCCTCAAGGCACTTTATGTAGTGGGCAGTTGCTTGCACACTGTTGTTAACTTTGCAAAAGTTGGAGAGAAGAACTTAGAACCACTGATATAGGAGTGAATACTTTACATATATATTAGTAGTAAAGTAATCGTACAATAACTCTATAGATGTCTCTTTCTAGGAGAGTTTTAGATAACTCTAAAACTTGCGAAATGAGCTTAAGATTTTAAAAACTGTTCTTCCAGGTTTAGGTTCTACAGTTTTTTGACATTAGGAAAATATGGGCTTAAAAGCACTGAGTGCATCAAGGAGAGGATCAAATTCTGAAATGTTATTACCGGTAGTTTAAGATTTGTTTTCCAACTCTAATACCTCCCTTCCTTTTACATCACATAGGAGTATTATTTTCTATGTACAAATGTATTGCCATACATTCTGTCCGTGTACAGTTAAAATGTCTTACTACTAAAACTGTTCTTTACAAATAAACTGAAACTTAGATGCCTGTGGCTGCAATCAGACTCCTGATGGCAGGAGGTCATAAACTTTCTGACTGCAAAACCTCACAGCAACACTTGGTGGCAGCAGCCACTGGGTTTAAATGCAGGTCAGGTATAATGCTGAAGGAGTCAAACTTAACAATTACACTACTGATCTAAAAGTAAACTGAAGAGTAAAAGTTTGCTCTGAAATACTCACAAGTATAAGAGATCAAAGAAGATTTTCATTGTTTTATGAATTATTAATAATCTAAACCAAAATACTTCAAACCTTTGCTCCTATAACATCCTATAGGAAATTTTGATTGTTTTGACAGAAATGTCACATAGATTTTAAGTCTCGATTTGGTCCGTTTTCAAAATCCTGTTTATAAAGAAGCTGAAACAAAGTCCAGGAATGCTTTATGGCAAAAATAATCCAGACAAATACTAAACTGGCCATCACAGTCTATGCATTGATTTTATAAATTAATGGATAGATTTAAAAAACCCTGGACTTGTAAAAAATCTCAGTAAGACCTTTATTTTTGAAGCGTGGACTATAGTTTCTCTTTAATGAGAGCTGATGCCTGGCTCAAATCACAATAACTGCAGGGCTATAAGGGCAAAGTGTGCTCTACTAAATGATAAAAATGTTTCATTCTGTAATTTATCTAAAGAACCTATTTGTAACATTTGTTGTATTGAAGTATTCACATAGTTCTTGCTTGATTTTATTTGTCCTTCACACCTCTAGCTTGTATTTCACAGAGTGTTTTATTTATTTTGGGTATGTTAAGAACAGCTTGTTAATTGCTTCTTGATTAATCTTTTTTTTTTTAGATGTATCTCCACACTATGTTTATGTAGAAAAACAGATGAACTGGACCGATGCTCAAAAGTACTGCAGGGCAAACTACATAGATCTGGCCAGTGTGAGAAGTGAATCTGAGAATGAGGTCATTTCACAGCTCGTGACAGATTACTATGCATGGATCGGCTTGTACAAAGAGTCTTGGAGGTGGTCAGACGGTCAGCGCCTAAAGATGACTTCATTCAGCAAATGGAATCCCAGTCAATCAGTAACAGTGGAAAACTCATGTGTGACTACAACAAGCAGCGTATGGAATATAAGACCCTGTTCCAGCACATATCCCTTCATCTGTAGGGGTGAGTTAAACAAGTTCGACTGGGATAGAGGTCATTTTAGTGACAGCTCTGTCCTTTAAATATAAAGTAAGCCATAACCTTCCATGTCCTGAATTTAACTTCAACCATATAGATATATGTATTTAAATCTTGAAATCACTGCAAAATATGGTTCAAGAGAGTTTTATAATAATATAACTTTTGAATTTTCTCTGGAACAGAATTTCTGGTCTGTAAAACTAAACTCTCAAGTCTTTTATCTTAACTGTAACCTCCTGAAACGGACAGTGTCATATAAATATATTTACGATCCCTTTAGGAGCCCTGCACAAGAAGGTGGTGAAAATCATCTTGTCCAAATCATCCTCCTCGTTGGACCTGGAAAAAGCACAGGATGCCATTTTACAGCAGGTATTTAAGGAATAATAAAGTTTTCCGTAACATCTGTCATGTTACATAATTAATAACTCACAGGAAGATCATTTTTCATGCTGATGAAGGTTCTCAGTCATCCAGGTCATAGTCATTCCGTAAAAATTCAAAAAATATCCACTGGACTTGGTTTTCAAGATTTGAAGACGTTTCGCCACCTCTCCAGGAAGCTTTCTCAATTCAAATGTCTGGATCCGCAGTGAGTTTGAGTCTTATATAGACAACGCCTTGTATCGCTTGGAAACATGCAATAGACATGCAATAGCAACATGCAATAGCAATCTATTGCATGTTTCCAAGCGATACAAGGCGTTGTCTATATAAGACTCAAACTCACTGCGGATCCAGACATTTGAATTGAGAAAGCTTCCTGGAGAGGTGGCGAAACGTCTTCAAATCTTGAAAACCAAGTCCAGTGGATATTTTTTGAATTTTTACGGAATCATTTTTCATGTTTTATGAATTCCATAATAACCACAACCAATATGCACCCTTAAATAGTCTTATATATTTGTTCACAAGCCAGTGCAATGTTTTCACTAGATAACTGTTTCACTTGGAAGCTCATGGTTATTCAGTGTAGATGGCAGATAGTCGCCCTTCGAGCAAGTTTGTGGTCATAGTGGGAGGAAAAGATTCCCTTTTAACTGTGAGAAATCTCTGGCAGGACTCTGCTCAGTATAAGCTGCTCAGGTTAACAGAAGAATTTTACACTAAGGTAAAGGCAACCGTTTCCAAGCTACTAAGTTAAGTCATAAAAAGTAATCTTGAGCATTAAATCCTTCAACATCTTTGTCCAAGAGAGAAATAATGAACGAGGAGTAAAGGGCTTGTTTATGCTCTTACATGCGTTTAATCGGGGTTTCCTCTCGGGAGCGGGTACAGGGTTGAGCATGTGCATTTTTTTTTAAAGAGGAGAGACCAGGTCTCTTCAAAACTTCCTGAAAATCCACCATTATAACTTTAACGAGTGTGCAGCATCTAAAACCAGAACACATAGAAAATGTGCATATGCCTATGTTGGGTTCAAAAATGTAGGTTCGGAAAAGAAGGACTGAATACACAGAGAGGGATTTTCAACAATAGCTCCTGCAGGAGTGGAAAGAGCCCAACCCAACTTTTAACTCTTTCACCGACCCCCCTCCTGCAGTCGTCTTTTATTAACAGAACATAACACATGGTTACAAAAGAGAGTATTGTTCTGACAGGACAGTTGATCAGGTCATAGGACAGGATGCTCTCCTCTTGACTGAATCACAAGGCAGAGTGAAGCATACCCTTTCTTCAATGTTTATAAGCACACACACATTAATTTTATAATCATTATTGAATAAACCTAACAGCCTATATTAAAAAACATAATGACATCTACATCTAAAGAAAAGCAAAACACAGCAATAAACGCCGTAGAATGGTTTCTGTACAGACTGAGGCAGAGAGGTGATTTTCAGAGAGAGATCGGGGAAGTTTATCCAAGTTTTTCTCTCTTTTTTTCACAGAGGTGAGAGAGATACACTACGCTTACCTGCTCTGTCTGCCCCCCATTTTGTTTTTTGTGAGCCTCAAAGAGGACCATTATTTTACTTTTTCAGTTTTTTCTCCTCCTTACGTTATTTTCTTCTTTCAAGGAGGGTGATATTCTGTGCTTTCTTTCCCTCTTTGTTTTTGTGAGGCTCAAAGAGGATCACTACTTTATCTTTCCTCCTGAATTTCTATCATGTTTACAGTTTTCTTTTATAATGTTTCATACATCGTCAGTCCCGCTTGCTGTATACAGGGTGTATGACTCCAAACTGACTCTTTCCTCGTGCAATAAACAGATTTTATTTAGTATTTCCCCCAAAGTGGATTTGTTTTACTATGTAACCGTGTCCCTCTTCCTGTCAGACCCATTAAATTGCTGCTGAACGGTTGTGTAGTCAGACTAAAATAGACCTGGGCTCTATCTTCGTTGGAGCTATGCTGCCCCCTGTGTAAAATCGTGTTGGGTGTGATCATCCCCATTGACTTTCAATGAGCTCTAAACACCACAACCTCATCCAACACGATTTTCTGTCGGATTTTTCACCAAAAATGTTCATGCTCAGAATTTTTCATTGCTTTATGCTTTTATTGCTTTGTATGTTATGTTTACAGTTCTCTCGGTTGTCTTTGCTGACCAAGTTTAACGGTCTTTGGAAAAAATTTAACTATAAAATGACGTAAAAGTGTGTGGGTGGTTTTCTATTCTGTATTCTGAAGCTTAAATCTTGTTCTTTTATTTTTCTCTACCAGCTTCACAACAAACTGCAGGGCTATGGACTTGGAGAAGTCAAACTGAGGTGGATAAAGCAGTCTGATGGAAAGACGTTCCACTTGAAGAAAAAAGACAAAAAATAAAATTTATGAGTTCAACTTTTGCCTTAAACTTTAGTTTAACTTAATTATTGCTTCATAATATTTAGCTTTACAAATAATCTCTGAAGATGATTACCAATAATACTAGTAACATTTAACATTTGCAGCTGTTGATTTATTGCAGCTGTTGTTAGATAATGCTGTGGTTGACTTGAGGTAAAAGGGTGTTATGTTCAAACTGATCTCTTTGTGTGATTTTTAATAATTTTTCTGGAATGTATCCTCTGCCCCTGTTTTCTCTGATCTATGAGATAAACAAGTTGTTTCTGTCCATATAGCTGTGTTCACCATATATTCATCTATTCATAACATTCTCTGTAAACCTGATTGGAAAATTATGCATGACCAGTGTGGTGGGAAAAAATCTTTTACATTTATCTTTTTATCTTTTACATATATCGATTTATGAGTGCTGAGATTCATTCATTCAGACCTCAGAGTTGGTCTGGCGTCTAGGTGAGAGTGTGTAGGATACGCTAGACTGTTTCTTAGGGATTATTCCATAACATTATGCGTTATTAAATATTGTTTGGGTGACAATATGTTAAGACCTTCATAGAGTTTCTGCAGGGTTTTAATTAGTGAGAGAAAAACGCTGTCTAGATCCGAACATCATATTGTGAGGGCTGTTATGATTGACTTCTTCTCTTTTTACTTTGCAAAATAAAATAAAATGCTGACTAAGTGAAATCAGTCGATCTCTGTTTATTTAACTAGACTGCATGGTGGAATACATGTTTCTGTTGGGTTCATAAATGTAGGTTTGCAAAAGAAGAACTGAAATACACAGTAATGGATTTTTCATACGGCTTCTGCAGAAGGAGAGACAGTTGAACCCCAGACTCAAACACACTGTCTCACCCTGGACCTCCTCCGCAGAGCATTTTATTAACAGAACATGACACATGGTTACAAACAGAGTATTGTTCTGACAGAACAATTGATCAGTTCATAAAGACAGGATGCTCCATCAGACTGACAAGAAAGGATGGTCTCCTGACTGAATCATGAGACAGGAGTGGAGCATCTCATTTCTACAATGTTTCATATGAACACACATTACTTTAATAATTAACATTGAATAAACCTAAAATTTTCCCACGATACACATTGCTTCACAAATGTCACAGTCGATTAAATTACTTTTCTTCCTTCTACTGAGTATCTGTTTAAACCTCATTAACGCCTCCCTTCATATGGAGCAGTATTCAGAAAACTAGAATATCATTTCCAAGGAGCTGCTTTTTCAGATTCAAGGCACTTTTCAAAAATTACCCTAAAGCAGGTATGAAGCACTTAGTTTAAGCCTGCATTTTTGGAGAAACATAGATTTATTGGTCTGATGTATTATGCTAATCTGTATGCGATAAACATTGGCCCTGCGGAGCAAAATACAGGGGAACTGGAGAGAAAACGATGCTCTACATGCCTATGGGAATCTAACCTAGTCTGGAAAAACAGTTTATTACTGGATAAGATGACACTCCATAAAGACAATAGGACAATAAGAATTATCCTAGATTTCTTTTCAATACAGTTGCAAAACTTACCCAGAGCCATAGCTCTGTGGAACCATCCCTCCCACCTATTCTTAGCAGTAATTGATTTTATGGGATTCTTTATTAATTTATTCTATTAAAAATAAGACCATTGGCACCCCTCTAAATAGGATGGGGTTATCTCTGGAAGGTAAGGCAGCATCTGAGGTAATGATATTCTGAACTGGGTTTAGCCTGTTTTGATCCAGTTTAGGTTTTAGTGTTTGCCTTCAACTTGTATGCTAGATCCAGTTCCAACCAATTTTTTAAAGGAAGTTTACCCTCTTATCTCCTCCTCCATTTTAGATGTGATTAATCTATCTCTGTTACAGGGATATGTACCTCAAGGCCTTTAAGGTAGCTAAACAAAATAGTTCCTAAATGAGTCACCATCAGTTATAGAGCTCATCATAGCACTGAAACAGCTTTGGCGAAAGTCACTAATGATTTTCTCATGGTCTCAGATAATGGATTTGTGTCTGTACTTGTAATTTTAGATGCCAGTGCTGCATTTGACACAGTCGATCGCAATATTATTTTTAATTCAATTCAAATCAGTTTATTTATATAGATATATAGAAAAAGCACAAAGAGCAGAACGTTAGAGATGAGCATAAATCCTCATGGTATCAATCATCGGCCTTTCACTTAGAGAGGCTGGACAAAGAGAACAACCTGCACAGAACAGAAACACAGCTGGAGAGTGGAGGGTATACAAACATGGATTCTGTAATATACACTGTCAAAATAATAAAGGTAAAATGTAAACAACACAATATGATTTCAATAAAGTAAAAGATTCTAAATCTAAGATTTGCTGCCAAATTCATAGACTTTACAAATATATCTTTTGTGTTTTTGTAGTAGATCTAAATGACGCAAACAGGAGGAGTGATCCGTCTTTAACAGTTTTTTTCTACAGCAACCTAGGCTGGAGTGTTCTTCAGTATCTCTTTTGCATAAACCTCCTGCCAATAAACCAAATCTCCCAACTCTGCTGCAAAGTATTAATGCAAAAAGCAGGGAGGGCCTAATCCAACCTTATACAAATTAATCTTAGACATTTCCTGGACTTGAAGCTCCAAATAAATGGTACAACAATAGAATTTAAAATGCTGAAAAGGGAACTTATTGAAAAAAAATCTGAAAATTCCTCAAAAATGTGTAATGGTATTTATAAAAGCTTTATATAGAAAAGGAGAGTGTTTATCTCTGTCCTCCCTCAGTTATTTCTAATTTTACCAGAAAGTTTAATTAAAAATTAATTTAGGGTCCAGATATTTGAGTCTCTTTGTTATTTTAAAAGGACGATTGTATATGAAGTTGGGATTCATATCTGAAGCCAAAGTCGGTTTTCTTTTTTGTCTGTTTACTGTATAACCTGGGTTTGAAGTATTTTGCAAGGCACTACATGCTACTTAGTTCTATTCCTTTCCTGATTTGGGTGTTTTAACCATCAACAGATTTACATACAAAAACTCTGTCGAGTCTTTGATTAAATTTGCTTTGGTGACGTATGAAGGTCTATTAATTCAAAATATTACATTATATTCCAAGTTCCAAATCTTTAGCAGCCTTTAACAGGTTTTTCTCTGTTTAGTTACATTCATTTATTTATCCACTATAACCTGCTTCCCAGTCTTTGTTGCAGAAAAGCACAACCATGGCACAGGGCTTCCACTATCACTACCACATTTAAATGTTATTTTGTATGTATCTATTCATGATTTGTGATCATCTCTGTCATGATGGGTACTCTAAAAGTGTCCTCTAAAAGGGTACTCTAAAAGTCCACGGCGGACTCTGCTGGAGAAAGGTGGAACTTCTCCAGCTCCCAACAGTACCCCCCCCCTCAACGACCGCCCCTTGGCGGTCCGGAAGAGGTCGAAGGGCAGGAACGCTCGTACTCCTCGATCAGGGCATGGTCGAGGATGTACGAGCCCGGAACCCACTGGCGATCCTCCGGTCCGTAGCCCTCCCAGTCGACGAGGTACTGCCAGCCGCGACCTCGTCGACGGGAGTCCACGATGCGTCGAACGGTGAAGGCAGGATGACCATCGACCTCCAGGGCGGGTGGTGGGGAGCCGGAAGGTGGGCACAGAGAACTCGAGATGACAGGTTTAACTTGGGACACGTGGAAGGTTGGGTGGATCCGGAGAGACTGAGGCAGTTGGAGACGGACGGCTGACGGACTGATGACTCGGGAGATCTTGTAGGGACCTATGAATCTGGGCGAGAGTTTTCGACACATCCCCTTAAGGGGAATGTCTCGAGTGGACAGCCATACCTCTTGGCCTTCAGTGTACTCGGGGGCGGGACGTCTCCTGGAGTCAGCGAGGCGTTTGTTGGATTCAGAAGATCGGTTGAGGGTGGTGATGGTTTCTCTCCAGATCTTCTGACAACGTCGGATGTGTTGGTTCACTGACTGGACCGAAATCTCTCTCTCGTCTGCGGGAAAAAGTGGAGGTTGATAACCGAGACTAACCTGAAAGGGAGATTGTCCAGTGGAAGCAGATTTGAGGGAGTTGTGTGCGTATTCGATCCATGTAAGTTATTGGCTCCAGTCAACGGGGTTGTTGGAGGTGAGGCAACGAAGGGTTGATTCAAGCTGTTGATTCATCCTCTCTGTTTGTCCGTTGGATTGTGGATGGTAACCAGAGGTCAGAGAGGGTTTACAGCCGAGTGCAGAACAGAATGCCTTCCAGACCTGGGATATGAACTGAGGACCCCGGTCCGAGAGGATCTCCTGGGGGATGCCGTGTAAGCGGAAGACGTGTTTAACGAGGAGCTGGGCTGTCTGGAAGGCCGAGGGGAGTTTCCTAAGGGGAATGAGATGGCAGGTCTTCGAAAAACGGTCAACAATGGTGAAAATGGTGGACATACCTCGAGAAACGGGGAGGCCGGTGACAAAGTCAATGGCAATATGAGACCAAGGGCGCGAGGGAACCGGAAGTGGCTGAAGCAGGCCTGAAGGAGGTTGATGTGAGGCTTTATTACGGGCACATGTGGAGCAAGCCAAGACATACTCCTTAACATCTCGATGGAGGGTTGGCCACCAGAAGCGTCTAGAGATCAAAGCGATGGTTCTACTGACTCCCGGATGAGCAGAAAACTTGGCGGCATTCATCCATTGGATGAGACGGGACCTGACAGAAGATGGCACATAGGTTCGGTTAGTGGGACCGTTACCTGGGTCAGGTTCTGTAGCCAGGGCGGAGTTGATTAGGTCAGTGATTTCCCAGTTAACCACTCCAACAGTGCAGGAAGGCGGAAGGACTGGTTCAGGTGTCTCTGGATGATCGATGGAGTAAAGACGAGAGAGAGAATCGGGTTTGACATTCTTGGATACGGGTCTGTAGGAAATGATGAGATTAAACCGTGAGAAAAAGATGGATTGACGAGGATTGGCTTGCTTGGTTGACTGGATGTAAGCCAGGTTCTTGTGGTCAGTCCATACTAGAACCGGATGCTCAGCTCCCTCCAGCCAATGTCTCCATTCCTCCAGCGCCAGTTTGATGGCCAACAGCTCACGGTCTCCCACATCGTAGTTCTGCTCTGCGGAAGAAAGTCTACGGGAGAAGAATGCACAAGGATGGATCTTTTGATCCGTGTCAAGTCTCTGGGATAGGACCGCTCCAACTCCAGAATAAGAGGCGTCCACCTCGAGAATAAACTGTTTAGCAGGGTCAGGCTGCATTAACACTGGTGCTCTGGAAAATAAGGATTTCAATTTATCAAACGCAGCTTGCGCCTCAGGAGTCCACTGAAAAATGCGTTTGACAGAAGTCAGAGAAGTTAATGGCAGGGCGGTCTGGCTATAGTT